TTTAAAACTGATTCGGGTGACCCCAATCTTTCATTTTTTTTATTGCTTTAATCCTACTACTGTGTGCTGTACTGTACACTTTCGTGCTTAACTGCGTGCGTTTCCTCCATCTCAATCCGCATTTTTTGCAAAGTTGCGGACGTGACTGCTCCTCTGTGTGAAAGCTAAAATTAGTGTATTGACTTCTTCGCTTCCTTCAAGCCCAACTTTGAGCTACATCTCATCTCCGAGTGTTTTTTATCACGGAGCAGTAGTGCGTGCGAAGTTTAATTTTGTTTTAGTGTGACTGCGATTGCGTCTCCGCACCTCGCACATTTATTAACATTTACCACATCTTGTACATTGGAGCGCAACTGCTTTGTTCGAATAGATCGGATTTTGATCTTTTTATCTCCCTGTAATTAGAGCGGAAACGTTTGATGCAAAATTCTCTCTCATGAATCTGCTGGTCAACAGTCGAGGGAAAACTTTTCTGCTCAAGTGGAAATACTGACGTGGCCTCAGTTATGACACCCAGTTCGACATGCTTCAACTTTTGTTTCTTGTACCCTAATTCCGATTTGAACTACTAGCGAGGTTTCGCTTTGCATTTACCGATGATCATGAGACTGGTATTTCTCACTTGAATTATATTGCGGCCATACCTTGTTATGGTGGATAGCTTGCTGATGCCTGAATTAAAATGCCTATTAAAATAATGCTCTTAAGGAGATGGTTTTAATCCTTTTACTTATTTAAACTTGAGTTGGAAGCTTCAGCTCACAATGTGTGTGATTCTAAGTCAAATTTCATTTTAAGCATGATTAAATGGAGTCATATTACTACACTATTTACCATTCTACCCGCAACTCGGTTCGTTTATAACTATTTGTCTTTCAGTCTTCATTTTCTGTAATATGCGATGAGTCGTGGTAACTATCGCCTCGATTTTATTTTGCGCATGTTTGTCATTCGTGCTTTGCACCAGTCTAGCGTATAAAATCGGTATCTTTCTTTTCAAATTGTCGAATTTTGATGAGTGAACAACTGGCTGCGCCACATGTCCCGCCTCTCATTTAATGCGATGCCATTTGAGGTACCTTTTTGAGACTATGTCCACAAGCGTCGATGTACGTAAATATGTTCTTTTATATTCGTCTACTAATCAGTTTTCGTGGTTATTCGTCCCACAATTTAGAAAACTATCTTTTGCCTCTTCCTATACCATTAAATGTGTAACTGTTTTATCCAGCATTTTTAAATGCCTTTTGTGGTGTAGTTCCGCTTCTTGAATTACTCGTTGCGATCTGTCAATAGTTCGTGTGATACTCCAAGGAGGAGTATTAAAGCCTTATGTATCTTCATTTCTTAGTCTCCTGCGTCAGCAAATGGAGATTTTTTATTATACTCAAATTTGTTATTCTGGAAATACCGCGTCACATTCTCTTGCAAAAGAATATCTCATTGCATACCACATGTTCATCAATAGATTCATCTCAGCTCTTATAAACGCGTGGGTAATAATTTTTCTGGTATCCGAAATCTCAACTATAATTCACTTAACTTGGCTCCCGACTAAAAGTAAGGCCCAAGATACTTTGCTACAAATAGCTTCTGATTTTGGCAAAAAGTCACTTTCCTTCCGGCTAATTTTTTGCCAGCATATTGGTCGTTTGAATTTGTTACGTTCCTTGTAAAACCATAGGACTGACGAAGGCAAAATTTTCAGGTAGCCAAATGAGTCGAGTAATTGAGGTAATGTGTCGAGAACTAGCTTTTTAGTCCTTCGCCAATATGTTCTTTAAACAAAATCTTACTGTTACATATCATCGAATGGGAATCGGTGGGGTTCTCAACATAAACTGTTTTTGCGGCTGTGTAACAGGACGTATGGACGATATGCTGAATATGAGCGGTCACCTTCTGAGCACGGTTGAGGTCGAATCCGCTCTGGTTTCGCATCCTTTGGTAGCTGAGGCAGCAGCCGTTGCAAGACACCACAAAGTGAAGGGCGAGTGTCTCCACTGTTTCGTTACATTAAAAGACTGTGTTCCTCAAATAATTACTCCTGAACTGCGCCAAGAACTCGTCAATCTTGTGAGAGCAAAGATTGCTCCCTTTGCTGCGCCGGATTACATTCAGGTACGTGCATTCGGCGTCAAAAGTTGGCTCCCAACCAACGTATATATAGATAATACATTGCCCTTCAGGCTGCTCCGGTCCTACCTAAGACCCGCAGTGGTAAGATTATTCGCCGAATTCTACGCAAGATTGCCAATGGAGATCGCGAATTCGGTGACACTTCAACACTGGCCGACCCGAGCTGTCTCGACTACCTTTGTGCAGAAGTCGAAAAAACGCGCTAGAGGTCACGCGGTACTGGCCAAATGCCCTAGTAACTCGATGTTGTGCCCTCAATTAACTAATCGGTTGTGATCGCCATTATCGGTATTCATACCTCCAGTTCGCTTTGCTCCTCTTCCATGTCGTCACTCGCCCCTTTTTCGAAGAGGAAGTGTAACCCTTCGAGCATATTTGGCCTGTTGAATGTTAGCTTCCCCTCTTAAGCATTTTGGTGTTTTTCCTTCTCTAAATTTGTGTGTGTGTCTTTATATTGGCATAAATCCGTTTTATGATGTGCTTTTTCCTAAAACAAAAATCTTTGATGATTTCCATTCCTTCGTGCGTATTTTTTTTCACATTAAATATTATTACGATGGAGATTACAGTCTTCTTGCAAAGTTGCTGATATATTTGGGCATATTTGCAACTGCAAACTTGCCTTGCTTCACTGAATTGTTACAATATGGGTGGGTTGTGGCTCAGAAGTTGTAAATTTACCCTGGTATCTTTAATGGCTTTTGTCTATTAGTCTAGTTTTGAAATCAGTATTCTCTATTATCGGCAAGTCAAGTGACTGAGCTTACGTTGCTGGATGCAGTCGTGAGAATTTAGTGTCCGCTACCTTCTCTGTAAATTCAGACACATTAAGAGGAAAAAAGTTAAGATGTGTGCGTATATACAATTTTAGCTGGTTTTCTTTTCACTGCCTAGGTGATATTGTCAACTTTGTGTGGTAGCAGTTGTCCTTGACTCCCGGCCACGGTGGGTCCACTTGATTTGAGATGTCCAGATGGCTGCTGACAAGCCGTAAGCGGGATTCCATCCACTAAGCAAAAAATAGTTCTTTGAATAAACTAATGCATGTAAAGACAAATACTGCTTTTAACCATTAACAGGTTAATTTATCTGTGCTAGAATAATCCTAGCGGACGTATCGGCCATTGCTTTGGTGCTTTGGAGAGAATCTTTTAGAGATGAGTCGTAGTTTCAATGTGAGATCCGGTATATGCCCATTCTGGACAATTTCCGAGTTACACTGGTCAAATTTCCATTCCTGAGATTTACGCGACATTTGAGTACCAGCAAAATCTTACCAATTTATGCGACTCTCAAGACTACTGTCCCTCTTCATTTGTCGGGTTAATGTACCTAGTAGTCTTCACAAGGGAGGCTTCAATCAAGCCACCTTCATTCCAGGTTGTTAGTAACTCATGGATGTAACTGCTGCAAATCACGAGTGTGGGTGTTAGACGGATATAATGGGTTGGAGTTGTATGATGTCTTGAGTAATTTATTCATGCTAGAGAAACGAGTGTAGCCAAATGTGCTTTTAGCGCCTTTTGACTGAATTGGATAGCTCATAGGTTGTCACTCACCAAAGTTTACGCGTACACTTGGGGGCGCAGAGGGAGAGCTAATAGGTCTCGTGGTGATGTGGGCGTACATTTCTCAAGTGATTTTAATGTATTTGGTTAGAAGCACCACTTTGCTGCATTTACGGCTAGCCGATAGATCAAATTTTGTGGTAATTAAACTAGGAAATAGGACTCTAATTTCATTAGGCGACTATGCTTACCTGTGCAGACTTGATCGTCGCTTCTGATTGATTGGAATGAGCTTTGCCAGAAATTACAAAATCCATTGTACCCTGCGAATCCTTCCAAGGATGCACTGTCTGCATCTTTCGGTGCCCGAACGCACTTTCGCTCTTCACTGCAAACCCATGTGTCTGTTAAAGAAAAATCCGGCTGCCCCACCAGCTGACTGTTGGAATTAATTTGGCCTTCCTCCTTCAGTACAATTGTCGAGTCCGCAGAAGGGACCGCTGTTTCCTGCTGAAAAGCAACCGCTGCTGCCGCCGCAGCTGCGAAAGCGGCTGCCTGATGAGTTCGCGAATTATAGAAAGTATTCTCCTGTTGAGTACTTGCAATGGCACTGGTTGACAAGAAACCTGTTTCACTTTCAGGAATCGTGATATTAGAATGTGGTGCTATTTCCTCATGATCCCTAACTGAATTCCATCTTAACCCGTATCCAACCGAACATGTTGGTAGTATTTCCTCATTTTCAGTTAAACCTCTCTTCTCTTGACTGGACTTAGCTGCTTTCCTATTATAAAATGAGGTTGGAAAGGAAAGTTCATCCGTTGCCTGTTTCCTTTGTGCTTTTAAGCCCATTTCCTTATTGGATTCCTGTACCACTTCTCCTATTAAACAAAAACTGCACATTATTTCTACTGTTAAATTATAGGTAGAATGTTTTACCTCTCTCGCAACTTACGCAGATTCTTTTCATTGGATTTGCGCAGTGTAATCAAAATGCACTGCTGACAGATGCAATAGTAGAATGGGCAAACTTTCTTGTGGCCTTTCCAGGGATTCGTTTTCCCATGGTTGCGGCAACGTCGACAGTGGGGTCCCTCTTCTTCCAGATCAGTTTTTTCGGCGCACGATTTGGTGCTGCCGTTCCGCGTCCTTCCACCCACGCCACCGTCCTCGGTATGGTGGTTCTTCTGATCGCGATAAAGGGCGATCTGACGGGCCACTATGTGCCTACCGTAGTTGACCAAAGAGCAGACGGAACAGCTGCAGTGCTTGTAGGGACAGTTGCGTTTGTGCTGGCGTACCGCAATCAATCGACCATGGGCACGGCATTTGCGGCACATGTAGGAGGAGCGAGGTACTGCATTGTCGGTAGCGCCTTCTTCTCTTTTTAAACGCTTCAGCTCGTCATCCTTTGACGATAGTGAAGAATCCGAAATCTTTTGACTTCTGTTTCCCAGCAGTCCCATCAGACCGCTTTGAGTCCGAAATTTGTTGGAGGTGTAGAATGTGGGTATCTGCTGCAACGGGGTCCCTTCTATTGGCTGCTGTAGCTGGAGTTGCTGTGGCATCGTTTCAAAGGGCAGTCTTTGTGAAGCGGGCAAGCACAGAGTTGGGTATATTGGATTGAAAGATAGGGGTGGGAGTGGTTTCTGCAATCTGTTATGTCCGCAAATCATACTAAATAAAAACAACGCACACCAAATCCCATGACCGAGAGAAGCTAATTTTGATTTTAGTAATCTCACGTTTGGTTATACTCATGAAATGTCGAGTAGCCGCCTTTTCATCCGGGCTATCTGCCCATTTGCGATTTACGATTCTGCATCTGCTGTAATTTGAAAGATATGTGTGCACTTCAATCAATATGTTTACTCAACACGAACCTGGACTGAAGTTTTTAATTCAGAATATTTTGATAACGGTTTTGGGCATACACAGGCAGAAATTCAATTGGTTTTCCACACATATAAAAGTAGTAACCAAGATACAGCGGGAAATGAAAACAAATGTTTTTTAAATGCATTAAAAATATTCTTATTCATAGATAATCGCAAGATTGTTTTTAAGGTCTAACATTGTGTATTGCATCCCTGCACCTTTGAATACGGCAGCTGCCAAAACGCCATTAAGAACTCGTGTCACCGTGATTGTGCATAGAAATTTACTATATGCTCACTCAGTGGTGCAACCATAGTTCTGATAGCTTGAATTTACATAGTTTTGAGAAGCCGGAAGAACCGGTGTCTTCGATTTTATTAAAATAGCTCTTGTATAATCGAAATTTCGGAGGGTGAAAAATTTGCACCTATTTAACTTAAGCCTAGTCACTTAAAATCTGTGTCCACCTTTTAGGACTGGCACCTTATTATCCAAAAAAATATCCCTATTTTTTTTGCTGTGGTTTTTGTTACACCTACTAATTTCATGCGTCTGTACAACTGTTTATTTAGTGCAATAAATTAATTGATAGCCATTTGATAATGGTAGCATTGTATAAATGATGAATGAAAAATTCAAAGTGTTTTAAGCCATGGGCTCACTTATGGCTGAAAGGTCGCCCCGATTCCGATCCTTTAGGGGAATGGGGAAAAGTGACGGACTTGAAGAGGCTGCCCAGTCTGCCGGAGTGGGGAGTGCTCATTGACGTGACAGTTGAATAACGAGCGGAGGTGTCAATTGGGAAGGCCTCAGCCTCAAAGGGTCGAAAGTAGACGGACTGCTGACAAGCATAGTCACTAGAGTGGAAGACACTCGTCTGACCCCCTCCGCAGAACTCGGAAGTGGATTGAGCCAGTGAAAAGTTATCCAGCGCTGCGTACTGAGAGTTGGATACATTATCTCCATTACTGTCACGGGAGTCCATTAGTGGTGTGGGCATTTGGATATCCTGAGACGTTGTATCCGGAATTTGATTGTTGCTATTTTGATATAAGCCGACCATGTTACGTTAGTGTGCACAAAGAGATTTGCTACGATGTAACCTTTATCGGAAGCAACAGTAGTAGAAAATGGGACAACGTATCGTAAGCAGCGTATCGATACTTCCGCAATGTCACAATTAGCAATTCTGTGGTTTCTCTATGTTCCACTAGCTCTAAATACGTCTCCAGCAATTGGTCAGCATACGGGACCCTCTGGCCAATTGGAGAATAATGCGTAAATCACTAACCAATCACCGCTAAAAGGTGACAGGGGCGGTGTGCAGTGGCCAAGTGCTAGCTCCGTCTTGCGGATATAAAATACACAAGGTCATCAGACTAGGTGAAAACTGTTTTAAAAGTTTAGTAAGGACGAAATCGCTCCCCTTTTTAATTGTATAAAGGACTAGGTAAGGAGTACTCGAGACCCTGGACACGTTGGTTAGTACGATTATTTTATATAAATAATTAAGCTTTGCTTAATGCCTTATCATCTTGCGCAATCGCAGCATTTGCGGTAACCAGAACTCCTTCATTCTGCTGTGAGTATGGGGCCTCATAGATAACTTGGACATCATAAAGTCGCAGACTTTGTAGAGCAGCTTAATCTGGGATTCTATTAACCCTTTACGAAACACCTTTAAAAGTGCACGCCTCAACACTTTAGTTAACTAGCCGTTCTAACAAGTTCAAATTTTACGTGTCGTGCTTACCTTCGCTGGCTAAATTAATTCTAGGAACACAGCTGAATGAATGAAATAACGAATATGAGTATTTTCGAGTTCGTTCGAAAAATTTTATTGGTAATGTCGGCAGAACAACAAAGTAGTTCAAAAGGATTTAATTTTTACATCATTGATATTTTGTGAAAATTTACAGAACCAAAAAGCCAAATTTTTGTACACTGTTAGGAATTTTTCTCGTGTCTTTAACCAAGTAAACAATAAACAGTTGCTACTAGATTGAAGGCAAACTTATAATTTCCAGTCCAGCTAGCAGCATTAAAGTGAATTCCAGAATATTTACCTTGGAAAGATTATTTTCGAGCTGTACTGGCACAGCAATAACACTACAGTAATTAATGTTATTTCAGTGGTTAAATTGTTTAATGGCAAAACGGACATCTACGAGGCTGAATTTCAGTGCCTGTGATTTTGATGCCGTACGATACATTTTGACTCGAGGGCACTCTTATTCTTCCCCCTCATGACGAGAACTACAGTGGGCAAAGGTTCTGCTCTTCTTTTGTGATTAGACTGTCTTAAAACTAACATCTTTACTTGTTCTCGCTGTCCTTTACGACATCGTCGGATTTGACTGCTTCATAATATTTCACACCCGAAGACAGCCAGACATCCACCTTGTTGAAATTTGAACCGAACGCGTCTAATGTCGCAAGCGGGAAGGTTAATGGGGGAAGAGAGTTGGTAGTTTCTTCTTAGAATGTTGCGTGAAGCCCTTTGAGATGACGAGTTCACTTTGGGTATGAATTTACCTTTACATTCGCAACTTCACTCCAGCGCAGTAATTCACTGGAGTTGATTACATAATAAATCCCAATAAAACTAGGTGTCAGAGAACTTTTTCATAGTGTTGCATCGAGTAATCAGAAATCTCAAAAGTATCCTAAATAAGGAACCAGTGAATTTAAAATGGGAATTAATATACTGGGTAAAGGCAGCAATGCAATAATGGATTGGAAATCGCTCTGCGTGACAGTACAATCCATTGTACAGATTTCGAAAAACCGTTTGGAGTTTGTAAATCACAAAATTGTGAAATGACATTTGTGACACTACGATTGGATCAATAATTGTGCTTCACTATTATCATCCCACCATTTCTACGCAACGACAGTAATGAAAAGGTCTTTAGGCCAAGTTGCAACGTTAAATTTAATTGCGAAAATATTCCAGACCCTCAATCCCATTTGTCATATCCTGGATACCTCCTCAAAGAAGACCGGATACCAACATTGACCAAACAGATTGAGTCAATTAAAAAACAAAATTTAAATGCAATAATGTTAAGTCGTTTTCTTGGGACTTGAAATAATTAGATTTGCACGCTTTTTAAGCGACGTGAAACAAACGTTTCTTGATTCTGCCTTCGGAGTGTCTTAACACTGTGAGGAAATTAATTAAAGCTATTTTTTCTTATTCTTAAATGGCCAACCGGCGTCTACCTTACAAAGGGTTGTCTGTACTTTGCTTGGAAGCCGTTGTCAAGACCGATTAAAGCGCCTCAATTGCGTCCTGGTGACGAATCGACCACTGGTTCGCAAACCATATACAACTACAGAAGATGGGGATTGGCAATTTCATCAGATTTGTCTACAGGAGTATGTGTGTTTAGAGAAAATGAGATTACGGGATTATATTGCAACAGATTCCTTAGTATCCTAAGATAAACTTCGTTGTTTACGTAAAAAAGAGAAATGAAACTTTACGTTTGGAAAAAAGACACAAACAGGCTAAGCGAAATATTTTCGCTTCCTAGACTGGTCGATTCTGCCACTGTAAATTATCCTTTTGTTTTTTGTAAAACGAGCAGCGTTTGTGAGGCAAAGGCCTAAGAGTACAAGAGTCGAGCAATTCATGGCCAACGTAGCACGGTTGTACTTTTGGACGTGTGGCTCAGCAGCAAAAAGTAGTTAGCATTAAGCCGGTTGCAGGCTTGGTAGGGGTATTGGCCAATAGCGTGGACGTTCAATAGTTCCGACTGAATTTAGTGGAAGGCTGCGGTCATGATCACCTCCTGGTATAGTCAGCAAGGTATATGAGGTAATCCACGAGCAGGCGACACGACGCGCCCACTTGTGCTCGCACGCACGCACACAACACATTTGGATGTCCACGAACTGCGTCACAATCGAAAGCGCACGAAAAATTGCGCAGGAAATTGTAACATGGAGGCGAGAGCGCTCTCGAATGACAAGAGTGTAACGATTACCACCACAGGTGTCATACGCACGCACCCATGCAACCCCGACTGTGCACAAACCGAGTCTTGAGAGGGAGGGAGGAAGGAATGTCGAGAAGGCTCGGCAGCACCCAGCACAGTAGCGAGAGTTGGAGACGGCAAAACTGTGGTTTGATACAGCACAATGCACACACATGCACACTTCGCGGTTTGTGAAATTTGATAGGGTTTGCACACGCACCCGCACTTGCGTGCATAAGAGTTTCCTATGAGCTCCACTTTGTCAAGTGGCAGACGGCCAAGTGCGCAAACTATTTAATGACATAATATGGGTGTTGTGCAATTCCTTTCCACCTCCTTGAGTAGAAGTATCGCACACCTATCGGTGCCCTGGACCCTGATCCCAGCGTCTGTTACCCACCTAGAGAGTAGCCATTAGGACGGTGACCCCGGCGCAGAAATGTAGCACATGAAGTGACTCGACAAATTACTCGACATAGCGAGCATCCCCCAAATTTTCACCGTAAGGCTATAGACCCGGGAGAGCAGTAATTATTTCAAAAACTTGAACGTCTATCGTCAAAATTCACTGTATGTACAATCACTTGGCACTTATTTGTTGATATGAACTCCTGCAATTTGGCAGGTTTACCTTGTTTTAAAACTAGCAGTTAAATCCATTTAGAAAAGTGCCACGGAGCTGGGTGTAAATTGACGTCCAGACTACCGCTATACATCACCAACCTCCCTTGTGGCCTGCCAGCGCCCAGCTCCTAAGCAAGTCTTGTTAATTGACGAGCTCACTTTAAAATGAGGCGAGGGGAAAAGAGAGGGTGAGAGGCTGTATTGGGTAATTGGTCTGCAAATGTAACACCGGTGGGGTGGGGGTGATGGGATGGAAGAAGAGTGAGGGCGGATAGGCCGATTGAAGAGGGAGCCCAGTTTCACTTGCCCTCCTGCGAGTTCCCAAGGCTAGACAGAGCACTCACCCACTCACATTCATCTTTTTTCCCTTCACCGCCCCTCTCCACTGCTAGCCCATCTAACTTTCGTCTGCCCAGCCTTCCTAGTGGTACGGTTGTGGCGACACTTTACCACCACCACCACCACATCTGTTTCAACCAGCTCTCCCACTCTATAACTAATCCGATTCCAAGTGGGAGTAATTTCTGGCAAGCTCTTGTTTCACGCGACTTCATATACGTGAGGAAACGCATCAGTCACTATCGGTTAACAGTTAAGATTATGTAAATTAGACGTCTAAATTTTTGATTAAGGACGATTCAACTTGATTGCGATTCGTTCAAATAAAAATAGCTTAAGTCCGAAATCTTGAAAAATTAAAGGAACGGCAACCACGAAACTTTTTCCAGTGTGCATATAGGTAAATAACTATTAAGGAATAAGCATATTTACTTCGAGGATGCTTTATTACTGAAAAATGTTTCAGTATATTTTGAGAAACTTAAAAACTGGAATGCAAAAGAGCTAATTTTTCCTACCTATTGACCATCACTCTATTTAATTTATCCTTTAGCATTTCAATCCACATAAAAGCAAAAAAAGATAGTACTTTAAGTAGGATAAACTTGACCAAGATATACTCCTCACCAAAACAGGTTCTGCACACTAGCATCACTAGGTGTGTGCATACAACCAAACTTCTCATTAAAAATCCAGCATCCACCAAGTGCTTGTGATGGAACCCGTGAGCCTTCATAGAGTTTGCGTTTCGCACAGCATTCCTTTTGGGCTGCATGTGAAAATTTTCAAACTAGAGAAAAGCAGCGACATATTTCCGCATTGACATTATTGCCAGAAGGAGCTGATTTACGCTGTTTACAACAGTCTTCGTGAAATACTCTACTAGGCTGGACATTTTAGGATCCACGCAGTCGTTTCACTACACCTTTAGCAGTTGGGTCACATGCCCCTTTCAGTCCAGATTCATCCGATAAGTATGAAGATCTAGCAGATATTTAATGAAGTCAAACCACAGCGCAAACTACTTGTCCAATAAATACTTAAACAAAATGGATGTAGGTCAGCTACATGCCACAAATGGTGAACTCATCACGTGCCAACGAAATTAACCATGAAAATGGGCTTTTCGTATCATGATCTAGACACTACGACGATAATGAATAGCACTTGCTTCCCTCTATTATCTTCTAACGATGCATCTTAGACGAGGAATCATAAAGCTGATGCAGTCAAAATTGATGGGAGAATTCGCCCCACTTTAAGTCACCAGAGGTCGTCCCTAGAGCACGGTTTGATACATCGGCGCTGCTCACAAATTACATCGTCCGCTTTGTGGGCCGTCCTCGCGCCAACCTGGAGAGGGAGGTGACCGCAGCTAGTTTGGCTGCCGTAATGCCGACCTTTTCACTCTGAAACCCCGGGACAAATCGTGATCAGTAGTGCTTTTCTCCCGCCTATTTTCGAACATCACCAAGTCAACGTTGACCCTATCGAAATCGTTTTACACCCTCCATAGCACAGAGGCAAATCACGCCACACACTCCCCAAACCGTGGGTTGCATGACTCAGGTTCAGTGTTTAATTTAAAAACTCCTCCAAACAGCTGATATGACTCCGGGTCAGGTCAGTCCCACTGTCTCGGTGCTGCAGGAACAAAGCATACTCTATTTTAAACAATTCGGTTAAAGAATCCTAGAGCTAATTTTACATTAGAAGCAATCCATTCTTGAATATACACCCGGCGTTTATCCTAATGGTCGAAACAGAGTCGGGCCTGATAACTGAACAGTTTTTATTGAAATTAATAGGCAGGTAGTAAAAAATCAGCCGTTTGAATACGTTTAAAATAATGCAGTTGAAAGAGCGAATGTATCGAAAAGTTGCCGACAACACGACTGAGTGAATTGCAGCACCTGGTCATCTCTCAATCGCAGACATAAGCTAGCAGGCACAGGATACGCTTTAATGCTGCTCCACCCCTAAAAGCCTACTATGATGCCGTCCTCATTCGCATGTATGCCACATAAGAAACTGAAATTTGTGCTACGCATGCTAGCTGCTGTAGAACTCACCAATTATAAGTACCCACCGATTCATAAACCAAGCCTCTCACGGCAGAAGGCAAGAAAAGCAAGGTAGCTCTTATATCAGAAAATGCAGAATCTCCAGTAGTGTGATTTAAAACCCAGAATTTACACTCATTACATTGCCCTATGGAGTGCTCTTCAGATTAAGTGGTCGTTTTTTGGGCGCAGCCGCAGCGTTTTGAGAACTGCTGTTCCGTCCACGTTTTCGTGTCTTTACCAAATCAGCTATGCTTACATCCAATGATGCTAGGTCCTCACTCGTCATGGCCAAGTGCGCTGCAGAGCCTGCATTAGTCCGTGACACCGATGCCGGCGGGTTAAGGGCGTCCGACTGAGAGGTGGATGAAGATTCGGGGTGGAACTGGAAAGATGGGGACTTATTCAAATCACACACTTTAACCTCAACTGAAATCAACGAGTCAGAGTCTAAGGAATTGGAACCGAGACATGGAGGGGATATTGGGAAATCAAATTGGGGCGATTGTGGTGATCCAAGCTGGGGAAGTAATCCAGTCTCCTGTTTGGGACTGGATGAAGAAAAAAGAGAGGACCGCGAGCGTTTTGCACTCGGGTGTCGGTATGGAGATGAAGAAATTGTTGAAGTTTTAAGAAGTTCCGAATGAGTTTCTGGATTTTCTATTAGAGAGCAAGATCGTTTCGCAGGCAGGGGTGTAGAACAGGAGGGACGCAATGACCGCTCGGGGGGTGAGCACGAAGAGGGCACTGACTCACGTGATGACGTAAGCTGAAAGCAACCAAGCGATGGCGACACGTTGCACCCGATGAAGCTGGTGGGAGTGGGCGTCATGGTGGCTATAGGGAGGGCCCTTCTGGGTCGGCAAAGTCCAGTGCGGGTACGAGTTTTCAAGGCAGGGAACATTGAAGGTGATTCCGCGATTTTATTTGCAGTTTCAAGTTTTGTAGGTGATGAGAAATGACTACACCCTCCCTTAAGACGATTCGGTAGAGAACACGGAGTTGATACAGAAATGGGCTCCGGTTTGGGGGTCTGTTGCAGCATAGATGTCGAGGGAGACGAGCAATGAGTAGAAGTGAGGGAATTCGGGATGGCCAAGGGAGAGCTGGATTTATCCGAGAAGAATTTTTTGAAGTGAGACTCCATGCAAGTCTCCATATAGGAGTAGAATTGCGGAGTCTACAATTAAAACAATTAGAAATAGAAGAACAAATATAGGCTTTACTCCTTCCTCTTCACCCCAGATTTACAAGTGATACTGATACTTTCACGGTTCCACAATATTTATTAAATACTACACCTCCCCAAAGTTATATTCAAAGTACACAAAATGATAGAACAAATTTGACGAGAATACCCTAATTAGGGCGTAGCATGATTCATATTGCGTCCAGGTACGATCAATAAAATAGGTCATGATTCCTGCATAAATCAACAATAAATGACAAGTGTATCAAAATACCCACTTTAACAATAGGGTAGGAATCAATTGATTACACTGATTCCGAACACTTCTTAGGGGAGTGATAAAATATGCTCATGGTTGGACAAGCACGTCCACAACAAAATTTTACCTCGGTAAGTAAGGAATTCCAGTCACAAGGGCATACTTGACGTTTAACAAAAAATACAGAAGAATACATGGGCGACTCAGAAATCTTCACTTCAATTTTCCGAAACTATACGTGTTATAGGGAACATCCAATAAATTCGAATTACTTTTACCTTTGAAGAAAAGAGGAGCGGGTTAATTCGATAGGAAATGCAGTCTTACCTCCTTCCAGGGCGTTTGGAACCGCCTGATCGTGGGATCTCGTGGTAACTTTTCAGAAGTTACGTAGCTCGCTGCCGAGTAGTTTAAAAGAATGTAGTACACCTCGGGATTGCCCCCAGGTGGAAAATCGGAGTGCACCGACAGTTTTCCATGATCACGCATCTGCACATCCGTAAAGCGCACACGGCTCCTTGCAGCCAACACAGAAGCGAGGCTATAACGCTGATGAAAAAAGCATTCACTACATGCTTTAAATATACTTAGTTAAGAAATTTGTTGTCTACTTAAAATCTTGTGCGAAGCTCAGAGATGTAGAGAAAGACGGAGACGGTACCTCGAGGCCGCCCCAGATGCGTAGAACAGCTAGAGTGCTGAAGTCCTCTTCACCGTCCTCACTCCGTAGAGAAGCGAGGTAGACCACACTGAGCTCTGATTTCTCACCAGTATGGTGTAGTCTCGAGCTATTTGACGCTGAAATATTCTTCGTGCCTATCACGAGAGCCGTGAAATCGACCACTCTCGGACGATCTTAAGATAAAGACAAATCACTCAGCAGTATGAACTCGATTTTACCATATGGTTCATTAAATGGACCAATGATCTGGCTTATCCATGCCATTTTTAGTTTAATAACAAATAAGAAAGGTACTTTGGTGCCCAAGCCTAGCACCCACCAAAAGAAGTTGCCTCAATATTTTTTAAGGAGCCGACTGATAAGAAAGACCGTGGCCGGTAGACCATGTCGATGAGGTCCTGGACAGATGTGGAAGTAGTCGGCTGACCACGCTTGAAAAACTTAATAACATCAGCCGCCTTTAAGGGGCGAATTGTGGTCGCTCGACCACCAGACAGGCTCAGCACCTGACCAACATTGGTAGTGCAAGAAGCCAGGGAGGCGAACGGGTCGGTTGGTCGTGTGGTTGAAACCTAAACCAACACAGCTACTTTTTAGAAATTTCAGTAGAGTACTTTACTACCCCATTAACACGAGGGACATACCTGGAGCCGCGTAAGCTGGATGACAGAACCTTCTTTTAAAATGTCTAGCATTTCCTCAGTTGGATTCCACAATGTAAGCGGTAATTCTTTGAACAACAACAAACGAAAGTAAGGATAATAAAGCATATCTAACAACAATGAGAAACAAATTTGAGCTTACCCATCTGCTTTTCAATATCCAGAGGATGAATACCGGCGACCTGAAGCCGTAAAAGCTGTGTGACCTAAAGATTCAAAATGATTTATTAAGTGTCAGCAAATTTAACCAGCACAACGAATCTTGGGAGCAAATGCAGAAAGAAACCTCTCTTTTGGAGCTAGATTGAGCGAAGATTTCTTGCACAACGGCTTCTTTGTAGCGAAACATGGCGTCTAGTTGAGCAGCAGATAGGTCGCTCTCGGCGAGATCGGGATCGAGGGCGTTCTTCACCGCATTCCACAGCGCCTCTCCATCTAGCCCGAGAGAGGCTAGAAATGACGTTTGTGGTTGAACCCGACGACCACGGCTGCCTAGTTGACGAGCAGCGACAACGATCAATGTCACACCCTTAATATCCGCCCAACGGTTTGAATAAAAGCAATAATACACGGCACGGTTCTGAAATGAATTCATACGGCAGACATACCCCTAGATGAGTTGAATGCATTGACTGCTTGATCAAATGCCAAATGACACTTCTCAGCATGTAGTCGTTCAGCTGCTTGTTCGGAGCGGGGATCACGGAACACATGGTGGCGTCGCGTCCTCTCGCCTTCGTTCGAATCCACATGTAAAGAGCAGGTCTCCATGTATTGAAGTTGAAATCGACGCTATCGTAAAGTAATGGGCCATAACATGAAAATCCACCACTTTCCAGACGGAAACTTTTACAACGCAAACGGGACTTAAAACGACCTCACTGGGTCAAACCATCTGCCAATCAAAATTTATACTAGGAAAGGGCTTCAAAATTTCTAGCGAAGATAAAAAAAGCACATCAGTATCCAGTAAGTATTAGAGCACCATCCCAAATCAACTACGATAAGGAGTTTCAAGTGATTAATTACAAAATATTCACCATTTTAACGTAATTATGTACAAAATAATGAGTGATGTACTGAAACACACTTTTTACATGGAAATTTACAAAATCTGGACAATTTTAATTAACATCACTAATGGCGAAAGTTTTCACTAAAAAATATCATTTCTAGCCATCGAGAATAAAACCCCTATTAGTGGTGGTAGGTGTAAGCGCTGTCGTGAGAAATGAGACTCACTTGAATCAAAACGCAAATGCAAGAAACAAGTCCTCCCTCAGAAGAAATGGTAGATAGAGGAATTGGTGGAAGATGGGCAATCGGTGGATGGCTCACAAAGCCCAATCTTGCGTTGGGTGAAGCTGGTCTAGTGGAGTTGCCATTAAGTCGTAGGGACAGTCCGTTTGAGGTGTTACCGAAGAGGTGGGCATCCTCACCTTTGCTTCGGTCGTCGCAACTATCACTACTGCTATTGAGACTGCCATCAAAACCGGAAGGCGTTTGTATCAGCTCAGCACCAGCAGTAACCAATTTTGTACCAACTCTGATTCGGCCACGTTCAATAACGCGCGTAAGCATACAATCAGGGATCCAGTCTATGTGGTACCACCCATCAGTCAAACGACCCTTGAAAGGAAAAATATTGCTGAATTGAAACAGAAATATAATTCTATTGTTGTAAAACATATCTGTCAATTTTAAGCTTTATAAACTTGGCAGTAATAAAATTGTTCAATTCGTCTATATCAAGATAGCAATAAAACATTGGGTCGCCAAAGAACAAAAATAAGCTCCTTACAGCCGCATCAAAATCGACTTACTCGATACCGGTGATTGGGCAATTTTTCTAAATGACTGACACAGAGCACAATCCTCTTTGCCGGGGTGTCGTCGCGCTCAATAATTTTACGAACGGGAGGTCTGTAAATAAACAAGTAAATTCTTACGCATAGAATATAATGGCGTAGGGTGAAGTGATTTTCCTTAAATCCACCAAAGTTAGCAACTGGGACGTCTGTGATCCCACACTAGATTTCAAAGAAGGTTCATATTTAGGGGGACGGTACTTTGTTTACACTTGAAATCATAGACACGAAGGCTAATGTCTGTGATCTTAATCAGAAGTCGGTTTAGCTGGATCTACCTCCTACTAATGATGTATGACCTGCCATGCATAAGTGAACCCTGGAGGCAGCTCAATTGTCCTACCTGACTACGAACGGGAATCGTAGAAAGCTATGACAAAGAGATCATAAGATCACTTTAAAAGTACACAACACAGTTACGAAATCCTCAAATAAAGTATACCGAGTTGTATCGGAATGGATCATCATAAAAGTCATATAGCCATCTGAGCAACAAAAGACACGAAGGTAAATGAACCAACACCCATACAAAATAGCCCAATATGCACCATTTCCAATCTGAATCGACTAATCATGAGTAAATAGCGAAAGAAGGAGCAACCGATTTAAGTGCAAGGAAGGCCCAATTTTATGAGAAAACATCAAAAACCGTATGCCAAGGTTGGAATTTCGGACTACCTTGGTGAAGGGAACAAATTGTGTATTTTTAACATAAATTTGTACGTAAATATATCCTATATATGATGAATAAGATACCCTTCAGACCTACTTCTAAATCAGAGTGATGTATACATGCAACAGCCAATTAGGGACATTATAGAAAGAAATAGGTCAGTAGATTACCGCTCCACAGCTTCTAACTCTCGGTCATATCTGTACTTTAGCTCAAGAAGTAAAGTGTGCAAAAGAAGACGTCCGTCTGTCCGCTGAATGGTGGGGTCGGGGAGGGAGAGATGGGGGAAGACATTGTCCACAAGATTCCTGTAGTGCATCAAGGCCACACACCCAAAACGCCAAGAGATTTGACTGTAGTGATGAGTTATCCATCGACGGGAAACCAAACCACTGGTCACTCCAGGCGAGCATACGAAAGCTCTTGCATCAAGAAGTTAATAAGCTAATATCAAACTAAGGTTAACACCAGATGTGACTGCTACTAAAAAGGATACATCAGGTCAAACTATAGTGCGAATCAACCCCGTTGAGGTAACAGTTTGCAATGCAACAAATGGTTAAAGTCTAAGGAGTGTTATAGAACACGGATAATGGCTGCATGGGACGAAGAATCAAACCAGGTTATTGAACTCAACACGACTCTAAATATATGAATATAATATGTGAGAAGTTATAGCACTAATAATTCGACCAGGACGTACCTAACAACTTCAGCACAACCAGCGTAGCCAAACGAATCTGGAATGACCTCAACATTATCCCCAAGACGATAACTAATATTTACGATATTCGAATCTAATTTGAATTTCAAATTCAAAGCTGAGTTGACAGAAAGTGAAGAAGTCCCATCCAATCGGAGAAAGTCGCCAGCAAAGTGTAAGTCTTTTTCGGGTGAATAGGAAGTACGAATGGAAAGATCTTCGTTAACGGAACACCCGGTACATCTTCTTAATCGCCATAAGGTTCCGGGCATCGCAGGCTCTTGAACAATTTTATGAGTTGCGGAATAAATTGATAAAGAACCACCTGTACGAGGCTTATGACAGGAGGAATTAAGATGTGACTTAACTGATGGTTTAAAGTAGCGATCTGCTTCAGCCTCCTGTACCATACGCGCTTCAACACGTTGTCTCTCAACTTCTGATGATTCCACATTGTCTGAAAATTGAGGTGAAGTACCCTCAATGACGTTCATCATTTGAGAAGATATTTCAAAGGATCCATCAAAATCCAGTGTGGGGGACATTTCGCCGTCCACTCCAGTGGTCGCTGGTACAAACATTGGTGATACATCGCCTCTAAGTGATTGCAACTCAGTATTCGTAAGGTTCAGTTCACTTTCGAGATTGAGGGCACATTTACTAAAAGTAGTTGTGGCTTGCCGTGGAGTCACATCGGATAGGGGAGTGAGGAGTCTTCCCACAGCAGAAGCAAATCCACCTGACGTGTTTTCATGATTACTGACAAGGAAAGACGTATCTGACGCGACTGACGATCCACCGTTCGCCCTATCAATTTCAACCTCATTCTTGTTCACAATGCATTCGTCGCTTTTATTTGTTTTTTCAGAGAAGTCCTTCGAAAGCCCAACATAAGGAGATTTGCCACCGCGGTGTGTGAGGACATCACTCTGTGTGCCATTGTCGGTAAGTTTATTCCCATCATAATCTTTAGAACAGTCCTCCAATAGATGCTTAGCCCGTTTCATCGACTCATCGGAAGTTAGAATTAATAACTTGCCAAGATCAGTCACGAAGCCAACCCTAGACGGGCTATCATTTGCAGTTTTGCTATGCAAACTATGTGCTACTTGGCAATCATTCAGAGTAGCCTCGTTTGGATTAAGAGAATTGATGGAGAAATTGGACTTTGAGACATCGCTAGTCGCGAAGTCACCAAAGGACAAAGACTCGCCACAGCTATCATTTTCTCTCTGATGTCCGTGTTTGCTAGATTTTTTCACGTTATCAGCAAATAACGGTTGGTTAAATTTGATGCCATCTACAGTATACTTCATATAGTTCTCAAATAGAAGCTCACCAGACTTCACTGTTTTGGGATGGGTCCTAAGAGGACGATCGTAATCAATAATATCGTGGCGACACAGTGAAGAAACATAGGATTTGGAATGACTCCACAGTGTTCTCTGTTTGGGTGTTTTATCAAAGTCTAAAACAAATGGAGCATAAAAACTGACAAAGACTTAAGATACAACCTGAGCAAGTCCCAAGGTCCTTAGTCTGCTCCACACATTCCTCGAAGATACGCTTTGCCCGACTCAAAGACTCACAGGAGGGCATTTTCAAAGCAGTTCCCGAAGCAGTTTTAAATCCATGACTAAAGTTAAAATGTGCGGCTTTGGGTAAAATGACCCTCGATGATTGACCACAGTGTTTAGATGCATTAGAGGGAAAAAACCCCACATAAGAGAAGGTGATATTCCCCTGCAGCACTAACCAGGATTTGCGGAAGCTAAATAAATCGTCATGGTCTGCACTAGAGTCCTCGGCTTGATTCGTACATCCTTCAAGCAAACGCTTCGCCCGACTTAAGGATTCGTTCGAAGGTGCCTTTAGAGAGGCCCCCGCTGCAGTTTTGAAATCACAACCGAAATCAGAGGACGTATCCTCGCATAAGTCCGTCTTCGGAATTGGATCACCCTGTTTGAGTACATGGAAAGGAGAGCCGTTGTTATCACATGATGGGTCATCTTCATGTAACACTAGCAATCATTATGTGTTAAAGAAACCTTTAACAAATTACCTCGATTAGAACCGGATTCATCAAGCTGATTCATGCATTCTTTAAAGAGCTCCCTCGCTCGCATTAAGGATTCACGGGAGGGTGCACTCAAAACACCTCCAGATGCAGTTTTAAATCCACGGCTGAGGTTAGAACATGCATCCTCATGCAAACTATTTTTTGACAATGGATCGCATTGCTCTGATGCATGAATTAAGGGACTATTGGGGAATGACTGCAGAGACTCTTGTGGTGCTATTGGTGGCTAATAAAAATACATGTACAAAATGACTACACCTTCATCCGAAGTAGCATCCACTGCAGTATTTTCAAGCATCTGCGTGAGATTAATGCCGTCAAAATTGTCATTGAAAGCCTGAGAACATGGTGCAGAAGCTTTGTCATTTAACTGTAAAACCTCATTAGACTTTCCTTCGTAGTTGCCACTTTTGGGGTACATAAAATCCATGAAAAAACGCAAACAATGCGGCCGATCATGGATAACTTTGGAACTAGAAACGCCTACTGGTTGAAATACGGAAGAACGTAGGCAATCTCCCCCAAAGAAAGAACTCCTAGTGTTGTCTAACCCGAAATTGGAATCTATAAACAAAAAACATAAGATCCAAGCAAAAAAGTTACGTTCAACGAATAGAGAACTGCGTAATTTCTGCGTTTCAGTAATCATGGGCTCAGGTATACCATCATTCGGACACGCGTTAGGAGCAGTTCTAGAACATGTTTCTGATGTATGTGAAAGATCACACGAAGCCCCATCTGGAACTTCCATCAAGAAGACTACGAGATAAACCAGAGACTACTTAAAGATACACCCAATTTGTATGCCGCGCATCGAACACGGGTGGGTAATAACGACAAGGACATCACTGAACTAAAAAATCAAGAGAACGCCGGATCAGTAATGGCTCGAGTTTCTATGCCGCACTAAAGTCATTCTAGTTGTTTAACTGCTTTAATCCAGTTCCTTTAGCGATGACTTGTGGTGGAGAATATGAACACACAACGCGTTATCAACTCTGAAATTCCGATGTAAAATACCTTAGCAGAATTTACGCTTGCGGGCCAATTAGACCTTTTGTCCGCATCTGAAACATATGCTGTTTACTTAAATAATGCATCAAAGTGTTCACGCTTCTAAATATGAGTTATAATGGCTTGATTTATTGTCCGTCATTTGATTAACGATTCAACTGGATTTATGCACCCATAATGATCAAATACTTTCAAAGAACCAATCATGTGACTACATAACTTGGCGCCCACCAGCCAGTTACCCTCATTTATTTTCACTTAATTAACAACATGGAAATGCTAGCGTAGCATCCCGAGTCTTCCCTGAAGAGGACTAAAAACACAATACTCGGGCAGAATATGTGAAAATATGTTCGATATGTATTAGGTATTTGGGCTACTGGCATAGCCCGAGAGCCGGCCTTCCCGGCATGGTACAATGACCAAGTCAATAGTGGCTCTTCACCAAAACCGAGAGTTAAACAACCAACGTATTACACAGAGATTTGTCATTTTATTTGCAACGAAATGGCAGTTACTCCAATTGCTAATGTAACGTAGCCAGCGCATGGGATGCGACTGTGATGGCTTATTCTTCGGTTTGCGGTCCGCAGAATCCTCTCTGGACAAAATTAGCGGTGAGCTTAAATACCTTCTCAACTCGGGAATTCAATACGGCAATTGTCCCTTGTTCGTCTATTCTTCTTAAAATTCCGAACACGTCGTGACGGTTGACGCGGAAGCGAACCATCGGGAGCGCTCTTGTCTCTCAAATACGCACGAATTACAGAACTAAACTTTCGTCCCATGCTTGTACTCTCCAAGCTTTTCTTTGCTTTAAAGGCAAGTTCTCCCCTCCGGTATGCTTTGCCGCCATAGTCGACTCGGGACACTGCGGACTACTGTGCCTACACCTAGGGTTTTCACTGGTGAAAAACAGGCCTTTCTCACGAGCCCAAACAGTATCACAATTTTCAAATGAATTCTTTTTCTTCTTTTTACCACCTTTGCCGTTTATCCAAACCTATTCAACGTGACACAACAAACAAAATGACTAAGGCGTTCACCGTAATCAATTTACGACCAGAAATACCATTTCAAATCCCCTTCATGACTCTGAGCAATTTTTCGTAGTGAATCTGTAACAGGCAATAGTTTGCGGTTGGCTATTCATGAGTGACAACTCCTAATAACAACAATAACATCAAACATCAAATGAAATTAGGAAATACCCAGTTCGTGAGAAAAGCAATAAGTTTGCCGCAAAAACTGGTGCTGACATGGGACAACAACGAATCTAACGTTAGCAGTGTATTTGTAGTAACAGCCGATAACGGTCAAAAAAGATTTGGTCAGTGTGAAAGTATAGAGCTGTACACTTCACAAGATGAGGAGACACGGCTATACAAGCAGACTCAAAGACGAAGTAGTGGAGGGTTAGATATCGGTCACCACCGCTGCGCTCGACTTGGCACTGTCAATGTTACCAGCCTTCTTCCGCTTCTGTCTTGCCGCCTTTTTGTTTGCAACTATGTGGCCGTTCAGCTTATTCTCGGCATCGCCGTTTACACCAGTGCTTTCATAGCAGGAGAGAGCATCAAGCTTTTCGACAACCGCATTAACTTCGTTGTTACCCTGATCCGGAGGAGACCGTTTAAGAAAAGCCTCATTAGAAGTCGCAGCTGAAGTTTTACAAATTGCCGCGTTGAGGTGGCTTTCCAAAGCCGTCTCAGTAAAGAAGACAGTTGCAAGTGGGTAGAGTGTTGAGCACTTGCCACGAAAATCATCAATCATTTCATTTGTGATCGGGGCTAGTTTGAGGTTCAAATAGGTTTTTAAAAGTCCCAAAGCCTCAAATAATACCTAAAAATTAGAATTTCAAAAACGGTAAGAAAAGTTAAATAGATACCGTTTCCGGAAAACAGCAAGTACCTGCCAGGAGACAGCGCCAAATCCCCTGTTGGTGGGTGAAGGCAATTGCTTTAGCGATTCGTTTGAAGAACTCGGGTCAATTATCGCCTTAGTAAGCGTACCTAAAATGAAAGAACTTTTTAAAAATTACTGCAGTTGGAGTTCAACCACATTTCGACTAAAGTAGCAACTTTTGCTCACCGAAAGTTGCATTCAACTCGTGACCTAAAACGCAATTCTAAGTGCGTACTTACCTCTGAAAACGTGCAAGAAAGACTTAGAATTTCTCTTAATGAAGTTGTCATTTGTTTCAGCAGCTCGAGGTAGTTCATTGTTCTCAAACACGGCGTGCATTTCCTGCAATAGAACCTCGTGCACGAGATTCCCAGGTTTTGGTTTCAGTTCCGACATGCGCATTAAGAATCGACATAGGCATTCATTGAACCACGGATGATCTCTCGCCCTGGGCAATTCGATCCCGCGACGGATGGCACGAAGCATCAAAAGATGCTTGCCTATGGCCCAAATTCAAATAGAAGCATAAACTCGTAAGAAATGACTAACGATTGTCCTAACCATCATGTGGCGAGCCTAAGCATTGCTCATACAGCTCAGAGACAAAGCACAATGTATTGCCAATTAATAGCGGAATGAGCACCTACCTTTTCGCTCAAAGACCTCGTAAGCGAGACAGTGAGTCTCGATCCGATTGCCCGAAAGGTCAATTAGTGGCTGCAGAAAGCGAGCAGCCTCGTTTAGAGCATTCTCGGGCTATAAAATGAACGAAGTGGTTTGACGAGACAAATTTCGAATTGCATACAACCCTTGAGACAAGCTATCCAGGTACGAGATGAAAGTAATCTGAGACGGTTTCACTGAGAAGTCGACTTATTTCACATGAGTAGCACCCCAAAAGACCGATGAAAATTACCCGAGCCAATTTTTGCGGTGAAAGCTGCTCCACTTCCGGTGGCCGATTTTCAGGATCCTCGTTCCTATCTTTATTGCGCTGTTGATTTGGATGCTCCTTCTTCTTTTCATCCTCCTTGATGGCTTCTGCACGACGCTCGGCCCGACGCTGCTTATTGCGTAACTTCTTCATTTCTGAAGATGAGATATTAGCTAGGAAAAAAAGCTTCAGGTTTAATTATACAATCATATGTGGGCAGATTCAGAGCAATAAAGAACGCAAGTACAGCAAATGACCCGAACCTGATGTGGGGGGAAATAATTACTACTTGGCGAACTATGTGAAAAAGCACCAGATCTTAAGCCCCATTATTAATTGTAGCGTCTAGAAATTTACAAACACGTAAAACTACGCAGAAGCAAACAGCTAAAAGACTTGTGTAGGAAAGTGCCAGCCATACACCTGCAAATTATGCTTTGAGAATGAATTATAAGACTGGTAGCATTGCGTAAGTTTAATAAGTGTAAGCATTACGGAGAGTTCCAAATTCACGTTTAAAGTGAGAAATAGGCAAAATCTGCACAGCGCAGTATGCCACGAACTCTCGAGATATCGACTGATGACAAGTATCGATTGGAAATCGTAAAAGAGGTCTACAGCAAGAGCTGAGCGATGGCAGACGTGGCGACTGATTAGGAGAAAAGATATTCTTAATGTCACTAACTTTCAGTTGACAGCTGGTTTATAGCCTAAACCAAATACAATAAGTCATTTCACTTCGACTGCAAGACGAGAAAAGCGTATTCTAGATGCTGCAGTTTTGGACTCAGTATTCCAATAATCTGATCTTACCACTTTGTTTGTTTTCTTCATCCTGTTCACTGCCAAGCGGATTTACATGCAGGTACAAGTATATCTAAAAAATAGGGTTTTTACGTAAAAAAGAGCAGTCATAGAAGCTAAAGATTAGATCCTTTAGCCATAAATTCGAAACATTTGTTGTAATAAAATTGCACTCTACAGAGATTGATAATTTCTAAAATACTGAGACCGAACCACTAATGCAAGCGCTTCATTCATCGCCATCGGGGAAATCGACATGGAATAAAATAGCAAGTACCTTAAAGCTTCAGAAAAAATTAGCTGGATGCTCAAGCTATTAGTAAAACTACAGGACAATAATGGCTAAGAGGCAATATTCATATCCACATGGGCTAACCTCAATCGCCAAACAAGCAGCATCAAAATACGCTGGATGGTCACGAAGACGATCCTCTAGGCGAATTGTTTCAACATACGACCTCAGGGTGCCTTTTCGTAAGCAGTAGGAGTGGAAGTCAAGTTGATCTTCGAGAACGGCAGTATACGCCTAAGAGGCGAAATAAGAGACCCAAAGGAATGAACTTACTCGGTCGATTTCATGACAAAACTTCAACGCTTCTCCGAACTTTTGCATAGCTTTGTAAGAACGAGCGTTTTCAATCAAAAACCACATACACTGCATCTCAATCAAGTACTGGGCGGCTGTAGTGCTACCTCTGGTAAACTTTGAAGCGATCGCTTCAGCATCCTCAATTCTATGAGCCTGTACCATGTACTTTGTACATTGAGCGTTTATAAATCTGTCCGCGGTGTCTAGAGACTGGGCTTCATCCATCCATCGACTGGCTGTTATAATATCACCAGCGTCACGGTAGATTTCGGCTTTCAGAACATAGAGATCAACGATGGTAGGGTTAATCTCGATTTCCTTTGAGACCACAGTCAATGCTTTCTGGAGCGAAGCATAATTATAAGCAATGAATACCTCTGTCTGCCTCATGTAGTTGTAATGTTGGGCGATAAGATAGTTGAGCCAAAGCGAGGTGGATGGTGGTTCAATGGCTTCATCATCTGAATATGGCAATTTCAACTCCCCACATGAAACAGGACCCAAGGTCTCATGGTCGTCCAGGTTGGTACGGTAGGTCAGGTAGAGATTTTCCAAGGTATTTCGCCTTTCACTGGAATTGTAAAAGCGCTTCAGCTGAACAAAAAGATTCGGCACACCCTTGCGAAGATTTTTGCGCATAAAGACGTCAACGTGAAAACCAAACTCGTCACCTAAACCACAAAATAGGTTTTGAAATCCAGTAGTACCATCCAGCGTTTCCAAAAAGAGTAGCTTAGGGAGCCGTGAAGATGAAAATTTTTCGACGCACTTTTCCAACACTTGGCGCTTCTCAGACAACTTCATTGCACAATTGGACCTAGCCTCATAAACTTTATAAAACAGCTCATAATAGGAGTTGCAGTCAGGATTGCGTTCGAGAAGTTGCCACACAATATTTTCGGCGTCATCAACTCTACCCAATTGCAGGAGAAGATCAGCTATGCAAAATTCGCTTATAAGTTAGTATTTACCGTAAGTTTCCAGGTATGACACATTATCGACGATCTCCGTGGTATGTAGGTCCATGAAATCAAGAGCTTCTTCATATTTCGAGCTTTCTTTTAATATGGAAATATAGTACATTAGAAGTTCGCTATGCTCATAGTTATACGGCTCGACTGCAGTCTGAACTTTGAGGAATTCGTGAATAACAGTTGCTGCAGTATCTAGATTTCCTCGCAAGTGTTGGACAATAGCATAACCAACCCAGGAAGCCTTTTGATTCGGCCTTTGTGTAAGAAGTTTATTCCGAGTCTCCAAACACCCATCAAGATCACGAGTATGCATTTGCAAAACAGAAAGATCTCGAAGAACTTGGAGGTTGTTCTTATCTAATTTGAGAGCCTGGATATAGCAGCGAATAGCTTCATCGTATTTCCGGTCGGACTTCATAATAAGACCATAAATGTGCCAGCCTGGTGTTTGACATAAGCATAAAAAGTAAACATACACACAAAGCTTTGGATATTCGATCTGAGACCGCGTTTAACAAAGTCCCTAGCTTCCTCCTTCTTCCCCAGGCAATTAAGAAGAATACCCTTCATGGAAAGCGTTTCTAGTGGAAGTTGTTTACAAAAAAACAGGTTTACCCCCATGTTCAGCAAACTTTGGGTTCGAGAGTATTTGATTAGCAAATTTGAGACCAGTTTTGTATTGCTTTTGATCATAGTACTTCTGTGCAAGCGCAATTGATTCTATGCATTTTAAACGTACCACTATCCTTTTAAAAAGAGATAACTCCTTCGGAGGAAGAGAAGCTGCACCAAAATTCTTTTCCATGTAGGGTATATTGTAATGCGCAGCCGTCCTATTAATTCGGAAAAACAATCAGCATGTCAAACAGAATTTAAGTAAGTTTTAGTACAAATCACAAAAACGAATACAATCTATTTTGAAAGGGGCCTAATGCAGCTAAAAATACAAACCACTGACATTTGCGCTGAACAGAAATCATTACTAAGCTAGAATATTTAGGCAGCAAAAAGAACACACTAGTATTTTACACCATCATGTTTCATTGCCACCCAAAATATATATTTTTTCAAATGGGTTGCGAAAGTTTCACAACAGAATTTTGCACCGAAAATTTCGCAAGGGAACTAAAAGCATAACAGGGGTTCTTTCGGGATTTTATGTACTGCTACGAATTCGTTTATACACCCCAATTATGTCTTACTTGATTTTTAGCCTTAGCTGCGTAGCAGTCTTACAATGATGCTGGCAGCATATTCTTCATCCAATCGTAATTTGTAGCCAAGTTTGACCTTGGCAAATGAAAGGCAGCTTTTACGGACGATTGAGCCTGCGAGAACTTACACTGGTGCTCACTCAATCCAGCGTAATGCAGCAGTGTAAATAACAATCGATGCAAGATTCATGCTTAGGCGATCTGAAGGTGCTTATTGCAGAGCTACCTTTGTCGCTCATATGAAGATATGCAAGGTACGCTGACAAACGAGTCTCCTTTACGTCTTCGGCTGCTGAGCATAGCTCAGACGGAAGGCTGGAGAGAATCGGAATGTGATCAACGTGTCGGGGAGGAGTAGACTCAGAATCTCCATTTGGTCCATTAATGACATAACCGCTTTCTACTGGCATCGAGCGTCGTACGAAATGAACTCGCTATACAGTATTGCCCCTGATGAAGGTCATAAAGTATGCGTAACTTTGGACAATGGAGTCGAACTGATGCAACACCGACGCCAGAATCAAATATCTTCTTACCACCGCCAAGAGTTAATGACCCCACTTCCGTCTCATAGGTGGTTATCCGTGCACTACGTTGTGATGCGCAACTCCGTCGGCTGCAATATAGTCACTGATTCTTTGCTGTTAATGTACTTCAACGCCTATTGTGCCTTCATTATCTGTTAGTACCTATTAGGCTTTAATAGTTTTCGTTTTTTCCAAAATGTGCAAGTGCTTAAGCATACAACGAGGCATCATCCTGATATCTGCACCGTGTTGAAATTCTTGTCCTTATCTGCTACCTTTACCCTAGGGCTGACATTTCTAAGTGAGGGCACTACCATGCGCGAACAACCATTTTGAACCGTCAGAATATCAATCCCATGGTAAATATATATCATGGTTGCTAACGAAAGTCTGACCTATCATCGTAAAGTAAACGCCCATATCATCCAAACACTGCCTAACCTGAGATCCGTTACCATGTCTTTAATTTGCGAGAAAAATTTGGAATAAACAGTGGTATGACCGTTCCAGTGAAGAAGTTAGCATACGTAAGCACTCAATTCTTAACCTTGTGAAATGATGAGGCCACGTGGCGGGGCATCCGTACCTAATTTTGGACAATATCAAGTCCAGTATTTCATACGTTTTACCCGAAGATTTCCGCGCCTTCATGGTGCAAGTAATGAAGTAAAACATGAACATCACCATGGTTCGAAGTTCAGCCGGTTAGCCGCACTACTCTGTTCCATACCGAAAGCGGGTAGTCGATCACGTGCCACCAAATGTGCAAATCCTCTACAACACGCATTACAAATTGCAAAGAGTACTTTTGGGGCCCTAGCGAGCTGTACGTCGCTGCTGCTTCATCACAGCGAAGAAGCGCACCAAACTCTAGAAGGAAGTGACAGAACAACTAAATTTAGTTAGAGTGGTCACGTGACTTGATGTATGACGTCCCAAAAATAGTGATCAATTTTGGGATTTCCCGTTTAAGCGGACAGTCTCCCCCGTTCCTTTTTCGCCTTTGAAAAGCCCTGCAAAAGACTACTGCGCAGCTACGTAAGTTGTTCCAAAATGAGAATTTTGGGAACAGTATAGTGATAGAATTAGATACCGGGATAGCATTACGCATCCCACCGGGTGTGAGATTTGTGGGCCAAAAGATACAGTCATCAATGGAGACTGGGAATTACTCAATCGATTAACGAAATAGAAAACGTGGCAGCAACGCTCTTGAGAATGAAGCACTATGAAGTGAAGCCACATTGCTGGGACCGAAAAGAGGTGAGAAAAACCCCAGTACAGTATTTACTACGCCTTCAATAAATACCACAAGCAGTGGGTGGGTATAAGAGACAGGAATCCTCAGGAAGGTCCCCTTGTCTATTAGCAATTAATCATGAAACTAAACTTCATTCTTATCCTTTATCCATAGTATAAAAAAATACATTCTCAGGAAGTGGGAAAAGCATAAAGGCATTTGCATAATACTTTATGCTCTGCATTCGTAACAAAATACTAGAATTCCCAAAGGGCAACTTAGAGATGCAGAGATCATTTAGTGATGGCGGGAAAGAAAAAGTGATTCCGATAGCTTGGATCAAAGAGAGGAACTTGAACTAAAGGCTGCCTGAATTTAAGGCTGAGGACCCAGTTCCTTGACGGATTTACGTGTCTTCGTCCATTGGTTGTTGAGATGAGGATTCCTCCTAGAAGTGCGCAAGCAAGAAAATCCCTTCATTGGATGTGTATATGAATGAAAAGTACAATGATGCATAGTTATGCAGCCTATTGACCTGACATACCTACCCCAAACATCACCTTCAGCTTCCGTCTCAGAGGAGTAATAATGCTATCAGATAAACTTCTGCGCCGACAAAAATCATGACGATCGAAAAAGACAGTAATCAGGAATTTGTAGTGCTGCTCAGATTTAAAAATAGAGTATTCAACTACATTTAACAGAAGGGTGTGGTACTAAAAGGTAGTAACTCCATCAACCTAGACATTACAAGGAATTAGAAATTCACACATCTGGCCAGTTATATTCGGTTTAGTGGTTCGGGGTGGTGAAAAAAAGAGCATAGGTTTTAGTTAAAATAGAAGACGTCCGGGAAAAAAGCAGCATGTGTAAAGACGCATGCAGCGTGTTAGGCAATACAACGCAAAGGAACCTACACAAACGCTTTGTGGTTCAGGAGGCAAAATACGTGTGATGGGCGTACCAGTACAGAATAAAATAGATTCAGTCGTCAAATGTGGGATGGCAGAGCAGTATAGTAGTTCTGAAAAGAGTAAACATCAAGGACAAATGCAGTCAAACATGCTTGAATGGTAAGCATCGCCTCTCTGACGATAAGATTCAGCAAGGGGGCTTTTACCTTCAGAAAACAAGACTTACCTCCAAAGCGATCTCCACTAGGTAAACAGAGTTTTAAGGCACCAATCACTGGAGTGTTTGTGGATAAAACTCTCGTACATATATATTCAGGCGGGGGCTGTACATCAACAACAAGATGTGCGTAACTCCCAGGAGGAAGCTCCGAAACTGATTTTCGGTAATCAGATGGCAGAGGTAGCCATACCACTGATTTATCGCAGAGGGGTATGGAAGCTAAATCAGGTTCAGTCTAAAGAATGCAATTGATGATGAAAAGTGAGTTGCCTCAACAGCTAGATAAGTTCCTTCCGGCCATGAAGCAGAACCAGAATTTTGAACACACCAAATCAGTGAAGGGGTTCGCTTAAAACCGGAATGCGGAGAAGGATGGAACTTCGCATCATATAAGGGCGGGTGAATCCGAAAAGAGGAAATAGAGGAGTGGCGAGACCCAATATTTGCATCAAAATTGAGGTCAAAGTACGCACCTATCGCCTTCTGTAAGTTCCTAAGGAACGAAATACACAAATCAAAAAGTTTACCAGTTTGCCAAATCCAAAAAGAATCGGCATATGCTCGATGAAACATTACCGCCAACAACGTGGCTAAAATTTTTGACGAGTTCATCACGATCATCAGTTCCCAAGCACCTGAACTGCTCCAAGAGCTGAGCATCAATTTCAGAGTTAGATAAATCCATTTAAAGAAAAAAAATGCGTCAAACAACGCTCAGTACGCACATCAGCCCTATTTCATAATGTGCGAGAAGTGCGAAGCAAACGAACAAAGTAGAAAAACAGAAAAAGCAGTAGTGAAAAAAACGACGCCCACATAATATACCGCAAAACGAATATTTTGCAGACTTTTGCTCAACGAATCGAGTAAAGTGCACTGCATTTGAAGTCGGTGATTAAAAATATAGATCTATTCGAAACAATCTGCAACAGTAAGTAAACAGAATAATGGCCTTAATAAAGGGTCTCCTGTCTTCCCAAAATCATTGAATGTTGCAGTTGCATAGAAAGGAACATATTAGTGACTCAGAGAAAAGCCGGGAGGTAAGACTCACGAAGCAAAGGCCAAGCCCCGAGCGGGTAAGCAATCTTAGCAGATCCAAAAAAATGAACAGTCAAAAGCGGAGTTAAGCAGTGTTCAGTTAGGGTAAAATTTGTGGTATATTCACTAGAATTGCAAATGAGTATACCATTAGAATTGCAACTGCAAAACGACTAAAGAAATGCCATTATTACACATGATCTTTGCAATAAAGGATTTCGAGTGTATGGAGCATGTTATGCTGTTGCTCAAGAATGCCTGTTACTGCCGTACAAGAACGCTGTCAGGACATGGGCATGACCAGATTGTCACGCAGCCAGATGGAAGTACAGCCCACAGAGACAGTCCGCGTAGGCTCCAAATCACTACTTCCCTGGGGCTCTCCATTGCGACACCGACTGT